CCCTTCTATACCTGAGATGGTTAAGATTTAGTTCTTGTGCCATGCTTAAAGGCACTATTTTGCCCCTTTTCCACTGCCCTGCCTCTGAGCAATAACACAGTTCTCAACAGTGTTTGGTTCAAGGTACTTCCTTCCTCTGTGGCTGCTGGATTTCAAGACATAGCTTCCAGAATGGTGAATTTCCCCTCTCCAGAATCCTTCCAGAGCAAAGCTGACCTTCATTTATTTCTGATCCACGTAAAAACCTCATCTAGGATTAATCCCAAAACTCTTGAAGACTAATAAATATAAGTTTTAGTCCAGATTTATCTGTCTTTTAGCTATCAGGTGAAATTAGAGAATGAAAAGAACAGCTAACAGGACTCTGGCCACTTCCTTGTACATCTAGTCTGCCACCACTGGCACTGAATGAGATAAAGTCTAAGAGATACCTTAGATTGGGCACAGAACAAGAGGGATAGTTGGAGATGCCTTCTTTTCCTTTGTTTCTTTTCAAAATAAAAGATAGTCATAGGTAGACATCTGCAGCACAGCAGGGTACAGCCTTGGCAGGCCTTCTGCCCTCACTGTGTAGAATTCATACTTAGTTCCAAGGAGTGTCACCTAGTCTCTTCTACATAAAAACCTGGCCTGAGTGGATCCCCACTAGAGATAGTTAAAACTACTTGCAACAGTCTGTCCCTTTAGAGAGAACAGTCATAAGTGGCTATCAGCAACCATGAGAAGCCTGTGTAGCTGGGTATTCCAGCCAGATAAACTGCTAGCTTAGGGCCCATCTTAAAACTGTTTTTGATTTCACAGGTGTAGAATACTTTTATTCCTTTTGATTCTTATTACAAGAGATCTCTGTTAATTGTTCTACAATGTTCTGACTAGTCTTATTTATAGTTATAAACTTAATTATAAAAGATTTTAAAATACATCTGAGTGCATTCTGGTTTATAGACAAGTTGTCTTATGTGTGTGTTTGTATGTCTGTTCAATTTGTTACAACATGTAGAGCTGTTGTGAGGTTGTTTTTTGTTTCTTTTGGCGTTTTGGATTTTCAAAGATGTTTGCCTGTAACTCAGGTTAGCTTATAGTTGTCACTAAACACATGCTTCTCCCAGGTTGCCAGATTATCTAAATAATGTCAACTGCCTTTACAAATATAGTACATATTGTTGCCTATCTATAATAACTCAATAATCTTTCACTGGTCAAAATAATGTGTTAATTGTTATGACCCAGCTCTCATATGTCATCTAAAAATGTTAAAATAATTAAATAAAGACTCTTGGGCTTAGGAAAACTACTGGAGAGGACTCCCCTTTGTAAATGAAGGAGTAGCTGCCTATAAAAAAATTTATTCCAACCTTTGTTCACAAAGGGGACCCCAATAATTTCCGTAGCCTTGTGGGAAATACATTGCTAAGCATATTATTGTAATATGCATATATTGGTCATGGTCAAACAGCTAAATCTTCTATGGGAAAACAATAATGTTTTATTTAAAATGCTCTTGATACAAGACAAAATTAAAGTACAAAAGGTTTCATGTAACTTCTACTCATTGTTATTTTATGGTGTATATATTCATGCCTTCTATGTGTAAAGTCTTCTAGGATATTTATGGTGATGATCTTTTTGACACAGGTTTCTGCCTTTCTCTTGTGCTCCTGCTACTTGTTAAGAGGTACATGTCAAGCCAGTGTGAGATAACTAGTCAAATAATAGTTTTATGTTATGTGATATATGTTATACGTGTCACCATGCTTAGGGATGCTCAGTTGCCAAACTGTTGAAATGATGTCACACACTAAAATTAGAGGTTAGACATTATGAACTCCTAAGGAACATTTATAGGCCAATATATGTTCTCCTTAGATGGCATCCTACTAAAGGATAAAAAGTAAGAGTTTTCTTTATGTCATTTAATGTCGTGTGATCAGATGGAGGTGTTTGACTGAAAGATTATTCTACACTAAGATGGACATTGTTACAAAGAAAATCTCATCATGATTATCATGCTAAATACTATGTGTGGCTCTTAATCTTAAGTTTCTATAATATATAACTGTTGTCTGTTAACATTCTGCAGGGATGGGATTAAACAACTATAATGACCATGGTTGATAAGAAATAACAGCTCCCTACCTATGCTTTATATTTGAATGTGCTTAATGTCTAGACAAAATTATAATAGTTAAGCTCACTGCTCCTACTGCACTACTAATGTCACTGATCTTCTCTTCTGGATGTTCAACAACTAAAGTTTGGAGACCAAAACTTGAAAGGTAACTGGGCTACGAGGACAGCCAATATTTTGGCCCTGGCTCCTTGAGGTCTACAAGATCCAGGACACAAGGAACCTTTTCTACAGGATTCTACATCTTTGGTAATTCCTGAGCAGGAGATTGCTAGATACTAGAGGACAAATAGACTGTGCGCCAAAGGAGGGTCATCATGAAGGAAATTCTCCCAAGCTTTCAACAAAGGCAACATGTCCCAGTGATGAATGTAACTGTACTGTATGCCTAGAATGTACCAGTGAACTCAATAAAAAGAAAAAAAAATGAAGGCAACATGATCAATCAAGGCTATGACCCATTCTGACAGCTGACAATGGCAGAGGAGCTTAGAGGTTCTATGCATGGTTCCAAAATAATTCCTGAAGATATTTAACTGACCTTGATAGATAGCAGGAGGTTCACATTGAATGACACAGGTCTCACTTTCACATGTCTTAAACACCCAATAGAAAAGAATAACCAAAAGAGGTATAAAATAATGCCATAGTAATAAAGTTAGATATAAAAAGGGGCTCCAGACACTAATCCCTTTTGACAGTTTTCAGCTCTACCAGTACTTGTCCATGGTTATAGATCATTAGGAAAAAACATGGTAAAATCTATAAGAGCTTAGCTAGACTTTTATATTTCTTAGCAACATTTATTCTTCAAATTGTCTTTTATGTTAGAGCTAAAACTAGAAAGACTTATGACAAAGTATGAGACTCATAGATAACCACTATCAGTGAAAGAATCTAAGACCAGCATGTTCAATAACTATTTCAAAGTGTGACTTTCTCCCCAACCTGCCCTTTCATTCTAGTGTGCTCATGCTTAGATTATGCATACTCTAATTTTTAAAAAGTTTTATTTATTCTTGCCTAGAGGCTGCCAAACTCCAAGCGGTTATACAAATGGAATAAAAGTCAAATGTGCTAAACTTATTTTACTGGGATCCACCAGATCAACCTTGTAAACATCTCATAACTGCTACACTGTGCAAAATGACTTCTATGTTGGATTCTGAAGTCCCCTGGACCTTCTCCTTATCATCTTTGTTCTCTATATTCATAGCAATCCTGCTATAATCCTTATAATTTGGCCCATGCATTCTTAACTACTTCTTTGGCTTTGTCTCCTCCAGAGTTAAAAGCTATGAAGCTACCGAGATGACAATGCCAGGCACCTACCAAAGGCCTTTAGATAGACCCTCTGTAGAATAACTCTGTAGATCACAACTATGACCCTCTTCAGCTGGAAGTAGCCAGAGGTATCTTCACCTTTTGCCCCCTCAAAGAAGTTAGGGATTCTTCTTCAAAGGGAAGAATATTGCAAATAGGTAAGTTAATTAGATATCTTGTAGGCAGGACCACTCTCGAGAAGCCAACAGAAAGGAACCAGCATGGAGGATAATCAAGACACACTCCCTGAAGATGAGAGTTGTAAAAGGAGAGAAACTACTATATCCTTGTGCTTTCCCTAGGGATGAACAGGGGTAACTGATATTCTAAATAGGTATCAATCAACTGGGTGGGGGCTAAGGTCTTAACCCAGCCTTTCCAGGAAATATCCCTGACCCCCACCCTTACTGAAAATCCTTGTATTCACTTGCTATGTGACTTGCTCCCCCATTTGATTGCCATTTAATCAATATTACCTGGGTAACTATACTTGTAATGTTATTGGTTGGTCATGGTTTTGCCCCACCTCATGCCCACCTTGTAATTTTCCATTGGGTCTTATAGTTTTGTCCCATTTTGTAACTGCCTCACCACATGGCTTTGTTGTATAAAATATCTTTGAAAATTAGGGTGAGTAGGCAACCCACTTTATGGTCTCCCTTTTGTCTCTCTTAGACAAAGCTTTCTTTCCTTCAATCAATGTTTCCTACTCTTAAAAAAAAAGAGTGGTCTTAGGGACTTCTTCAACACACATTCTAATAAGCAAATCAAGAAAATCTCCAAAAAGACTTACTTGTAACTGCACAATTTGAGTATCACTTAAATATTTATCATGTGCTTATATTACATCTTTGGAAATAATTTATAAAAGTGGGGAGGAGGGTTGTTAAAAGAAACTAAGGTGGCTTGTGAATGAGACTCAAAATATGGTATAGAACCACAGAGATCATTCATTGAAACCTCCTCATATTCTAGATAAGAAAACTGGAAGCCAAAGAGGGTAACAGACTCATCTAAAGATATCCAGACAGTAATTACAGACACAGGTCTCAAATTCTTACTGTTCTGTCCTAGTATTCCTTTCTCTAAGTCCATGGTCCCTTTTTTTAAACATTAGTCATTTGACCTACCCTAGTGCTGTCCCCTCAAAGCTTTTCAGGGGCCTACTTTCTTGTTAACCATGGTTCATATTTTTCAAATTTCCCTGTGTAGTATATATATCTTAGTTCCTCCCAAAATACTGGGTCTCATGAAAATGGAACTCAACAGAAAAAGAAAAGAAAAGCTAAAGAAAAATCATACTGGTAACTATCCAAAAAGATAGGGAGAGGGGAGTAAAATGGTAAAGAGAGAAAAAATCCTAAGCCTAACCACAGAACCTTCCTAAGTACTAATAACTTATTAAAGACCAAGTGTCAAAATCAGGGCCAGAGAGGAACTCATTACCCACTGCAGAACAAATATCGTAATATAACCAAATACATCACAGGTTCCTTCTGTTTCTCACTAATATCTCTCAAAAACCTCCCCAAAGTGGTAAGATGCTTACATGTTCTAGAAAGCAGGGTCCTATTTCACTGAGGTGGGGGTCATCATTGTTGTACTGTTTCTCCAGGTCTCTCACGAAGCCCATCTGAAACCTGTAGATGTCTTCAATGTTCCCAAAGATTACTTTCAGTTGCTCATCACTGAACATGTCCCGTCTCTTCCGGCACTGTTTCAGATATCCCTGCAGACAAAGGAAAAGTCTAGGATGAGGATGGTTCCCACTCCCAAGGAGGTTTACTGCTACATAACTGTTTGGAAGCCTCATTTCAATTCCAAGAATTAAGCAGGAAATAATCATTTTCATTTGTTGTGTGAGAAAATTGAGATTTAAAGAAGTAACTGCACTAGTAAATGGTTTAAAAAGGCTGGAGCTCCGGAAAAGCTCTTCAGAGTATAAAGACTCCACAGAGCTGGAGATAGTGGCAGATACCTATGTTTCCAGCACTCTGGGAGGCGGATATGGGAGGATCACAAGTTGAAGCTCAGCATGGACAACTTAACAGTACTTTGTCTCAAAATAAAAAAATGGCTGGGGTGTAACTCAGTGAAAAGGCCTTGGGTTTCATCCTCAGTAACACCCACACTACACACACACACAAACACCATTCCACAGTCTAGGACTTATATATATATATATATATATATA